CCGTGGGCAAGTGGTTTATGTGCATCTGGGTCCCTCCCGCTATGCTGAACGCCTTAGCAGAAATCAGATCTTTTTCAATAAATTAATTTCCTGTATACGGCTTGAAGAAATAGACAAACGTAACGCAATGTGATACAGAAGGTTTCAAAAATTAAAAGATAGTACTTAAGATATAACAACGGGTAGCTGTAGCGGAAGCGGGACGATTCCCGTTCCGCGACGCGAATTCACAATGTCCTAGGAATTACTTCCAATATTCGCCCGCGATAATAGAAAGAGTCAGATTACTAGAATTTTATAACAGAAATGGTGTATCACGTATCTTGGCCTGTGCGTGCAACGCAGAAACCACTACGGTGCGAGCGAGACGCCGGAGTGTCCCTCGGTGCCTCCTTGTTGCACAGCACGAGTGTAAGCGAGACGCCAGCAAGGCCACCATGCGCCATAGGGAGCTTGGTGGGGGACTGCTCGTGTCCGGGCGCACACTCTTGCTCTCTCTCTCTCAGACTAACGCTCTATGACGAGAACAGCTACTACCCCGATAAGAAACGACAAGGAGCTACGCAACAGTAGTTATAGGCCATTCCTGGCCGTCACAACAAACCCCCACCACTATCCCCCACGATCCATGTAGCGCACAGCGCTCTGATCCCCCACACCGTGCCATGACGTCACCCTCTTCATCGATGTGGCCTGTTCTCCCCACACCTCAGTCATGTGGTGCCGCCCCACCGTGCGGTCCTAACACCCGAAAATTCCCAGCTGCATGTCCCCAGGGGCCTACCGTGGTCGGTAAGTATACACTGACCCCCGGTCGGTAACTTTTTAATTATCCCAAGGAGGTAAGTGTAGCCGGAGTAAGACAGAACCTGTGTTTTGTAAGAAACCTTATATATTTTATAAAGCTTTAACGCGTGATACATTTTCGATTATTAGCGTATTGTTAACATGAATCGCTATCTATTTTAAGTAGTAAAAGCATGTCCTGATCGATTGGCAAGGCCTGATCCCTAATTCTGCCTACTGCCCAAGCCGTGTGACTTTGTGAATGTTAGGCTGAATACATTTTCCGAACAATAATGTAATCATGGTTCAGATCGCATTTGGAGAACCTCTTTATCTCGGAGAAGTCCAAATCTCTGCAGGTGTGCGGTGGCGTTGTATAACGTCCGCTTTCAACGATGACCGTGATGCGGAGATGAACATCATACAGAGGGAAAGATATGGGGAGATGGATGTGTAGGAGACAAAACAATCAAAATAGGTTTTAAATAAACATATATTATAAACATATTGCAAGATACATCAATCATACAGTTTTATTAAGAAAATAATCGTTATGCATGGCTGTTCTGGCCCTCCATGGTGTTCCGCACGAAGGAGTGGTACTCGTGGTTATACAGGGAGAGCAGCTCCACTAATAATTAGTAAAGCACCGGCGACCGCAGGCCTTTCTTCTCCAGAACCAGTCGAAGATCGCCCAATATGTTGTCCCTGGAGGAGGTGTCATCTCCGCGACGGTCGAGTTCCGCAATTAGTGTGTCTTTAGAGTTGTTAGCACTGTCGGCAATCTCGCGTAGCCTGGTTATTTGAAAGGTTACGCAGCGCAGGACCCTCTGGAGATTGAGGTAGGACACCCTCTTCATCACAACCGTAGGTGTGTATATCCTAGCTTTTTTAATACCCAAGTCATCGTTGTCCGTAGACACCGGGATTACCGGTTTGAAAATAATAGCCCGCTCACCGTATGAGTACGTGAAGGCTAGCTCATGAGTAGCCATGAGAATAGGAGTGTTAAAAGCCTCGGGTACCTCCTTGATGTTATCCTCTGCGGTGAGAATTTGTCGATGACGAGGAAGTGGTCGGTGATGATGGCCCATTCAGTAGGGTCAAACTCCACTCCGGAATAATCTTGATTACCGATGCGAATTACAGGTGATAAGCTTTCCGAACGATTTAAAGAGAAGCCGGTGACTACTTGTTTCGAAAACGATCGGTTTAGGCCGTACACAGTGGACAGCAGTACTTGCTTCTTGTACATGATTATAGTAAATGCTATTATACGATCGGTGCGATGGTCTGAGTAGTACTGTCTAAGGCGATATCTAAAAAACAGGTCATCGAAATATCGTCGAACATGTCCCCCCCCTCCCCCCACCATAATCACACCCCGTTTTCATAGGATACAGCGAACAATGAGACTATGACCATGGTAGAGTATACTGCTGATACCGCAGGATGTATGAGAGATGACGAGATGCTGATATCCTATAGCGAGTGATTCACGTGAATCACGGTACTGCTGGGTACATCTACATCAGCGTTAAGATGATCCTGTAAAAAAGAAAACACGCGGTTGAAGCACGGCCGAGCATCCAGCGATGTACAGTCTAAGAAAAGCAGTAGAATCATTACAACGATACACTGAAAAATTTACCGACAGACATCGAAGAAAAAGAAATGGCTCACTACGACGACAACGATGTTTTGAGGCATATACGTATGCAGTGGTCGAAGATACGAGCTCTCTATGGGCACGGAAACCCTGAGCACGATCCAAAGAAAGAGGTCGTACGTGAGTGGTTGAGATTGGGACGCTGCGCGCTGATGTGTTATACAATGATAATCCCGACATGATCTATCGTCAGGGCTGGTCGTCGGGTGTAAGACCCGTGATACTACCCGAACTGTCTATAGCAACGATACTGAATGAAGAATACCACGATTTCACATGTTTTAGCGTAACGCTGGGTTTTATTTGCGATCAGCGTTCTAATGATAGCCCTTACGCACAGCGTATATGTACCCATGAGTGGTTGGCAAAAGAGGAATGGCGTATGTCCGACGATAATAGTCCCAAATGCCGCATCACGTATCGGCGCCCTATGGACAAATCAGAGCTACCGACATTGAGGAAAAGGTGGAGCAGGCCCACACCGGAAGTACTACCGCACCGTGCACCTATGCGTCTGGAGTCGCAGGCATGGCTAGCGGCATTCAATAATCTCGAGAGATTACGCGAAAGCTGCGTCACACTGTGGTGCCTGAGAGCTATGCGAGCATACGAGACAGCACTACGCACTCTGGAGAAACGATTTAGTTTGACAGAGTTTATTGGGTGTGTTACCCTGACGACGCGGGATGGTCCACCGCACCTAAAATATAAGGAATGCCGAACAAGCGTGGTCAGCATGCCTGACGGTCTTTACGCGTACCTAGAGGCACTCGACGATGCGTGGAAAACCTATACACTCCACAACGTTTACAACGATGAGGAGGGGGATCATGTTGAAGGATCGAGCAATTTTGCGTACTTCGCAATGGACACACGAACAGCGTCCCGACGCAACATCCGGCATATACGGTGTATGGCAATTTTTCGCGACGAGAGCTGCGAAACACTGCTGCAGGATGACCGTGGCGGAAAAGATATCAGCGTACAGCTTATCGGTGGTGATATCAACGAGTTCGATGTTGTAAAAGACTGGTGTGATCTTCTGGTACCAGTCGATTGTAATTGATAAATATAAATAATGTAAAAAAAAATACCTATGTACGCAGAATAGTATGATTCGTATCTCTAACCCTACACTACGATGGCGAGATGCTGATGCAACCTCAAACGGTGTACGTCAGCAGATCGCTGCAGCTCCCAACGCAACACCTCTATACCGTTTTTTCCCGTATTATGGATACGCAGAATTTCGTGATCGGCGAACGAGCGACCAATAATACATAATTTATTTTACGGTTAAAACGTTTCTATCTAATTTCCGACGAATAAAGACCCTATAAGAAAATCGTGACATTTTTTGCTGATTCAGGTGTATCGTATAGTATTGTTTTGAAATTAATATCGTCGTGGCTGTAAGACGTCCGCGGGGGCACCGGTTACCCGGTGCAATGAGTTCTCGAAATTGAATGTGGTCATTGTAGCCGGCAGCCTCTAACGGATCTACAACTTTTATATTTTTTATTTTCACACAGATAAGTTTTCAACGGTGTCTGTAAAGTTATCATTATTACATTGATTGTGCTCGTTAGAAGCGCTGGACATGGTGGAGCGGTCATCATCACCATTGTCGTAGTTGGCGTCGTCATCGCTACTGGCCGATACTATTGCCATGACCTCGTCTGTAAAAAATTATGATGAAGATCGCGTTTTTTTCCTCCGATGCTGCTTAACGCATACCCCATGTATCGAGAAGCGATTCTTCTTCTTCTTCTTCGTCTTCTTCTTCCATCATCTGTATGTCCAGCGTTGTCGATGGACCTGCCACTTTTTGGAATAAAAACGTAAATTAGACGTAATCTTTTTTAAAAAAAAGTGTATGTTTTACCGTTAGCACATTGTATAACCGTCGCCGTGCTGGTGCTGGGCTCCGGGTAAACCTCCTCTATACGATCGAGGCACCCTAAGAGCAGCCGCTCCTCCTCGGGGGCGCCCTCGTGGTGAAAGCGCGTCAATTCTTGCAAAAATTTATTTAGTTCTTTTAAAAAAGGCAATTTATTTAGGAGCTATTACTGATAAGCGGCAGATACATACCTTCGTGGAATCGATGATTGGTTATAATAGCCCTGGTGATGTGGCTATTCCGCACTCCGCGTTTGCTGATACACGCTACGGCTAATGAAAGTATGTACGGATCGTTCTTGAAATATCCTCTTTCAGGACCCCTGGCTAGCACGCGCAGAGTACAATGGGAAAACACACTTTTTAATCTACGCGTTAGCGTGCGAAAACCGCAATATCTTAACTCGCGACACCACATCCGTGAGAATAATCTTGGGTTTCTAGGGGTATTCAAGCGGTGTATCTTGACGAAATCGAGGATACAGTCGCGAATATTTCCCAAAGATGACATTTTTTTTTCTTTGCTTAAAGCTGGTGATTGCTGTAAGTGATCAGACTATTTGCCGAGACGTCGTGATACCGAATACTCTTTCTTTTTTTGTTTAATAGCCAAAAAATAATAAAAAACTCTTTTTCCAAACGCTAGATGCGGGAGATGCGGGCGCGCGATACCAGACCGGTGGGAGACCCTTTCTTCGGGCGCAGAGTGGTGACGACAAAGACACCAACAACGATGGAGTCATCAATAACGACGTGTTACCGCCAGGGCATAAGTTCACCGTACAATCCGAAACGACGCGTCGCATAAATCGGTTTCGTTTAGACGGACGCGAAATAACAATGGCTATCAGGCGGCCGCCCCAAGATCCTGATGGGAATACCGTATCCTGGTTGCAGGGAGCGGTCCGAGATATACACGCGTACCTTACAAGCTCGTATACCGCGCGAGATTATATAGGTCTGACAATTAAATCAGACAGTTTTGCGTGCGGGGCCGCGTGGCTGTCATACAGACCGGCTCGAGACTTTCTTGAAAACGACGTGTGGGGTGTAATATCGTCCGTCGCACAGAGCGCCCAGGCGTTCCAAATAAACAGATCTTTTGTCATAGAGTCGTGTATAGTCGAAGTGCCGCGGGGTACGGGTCGCGTGCGATTAGCGCACGAGTTTGTAAAAAAACACTCTATACTCAGCATAATAAACACCGATAATCTCTGTCTACCTAGATCGCTTGCTGTGGCGATGGTATACGCTGAACGCGGGGAAGTACGCTCTGGGGAACTGCATGAGAGATGGAACGCTGTACGGCGTGAACGGGGTAAATTTCAAAAACAATTAGCTCTCGAGCTTGTGACAAATGCCTGTGTAGACATACCGCC